TATTAAAATTATATAATCAATCTTAACATAATATTAACCATAACTTTATAATGTGGCCTTTTTGGTTGAAACATGTAAATAGTTGAAACTTTTGTGAACAATCACATTCAGCATTGTCAGGATATAAACAACGACAATATAGAAAAACAGAACGATAGCATAGATAAATACAACGATAACAGAAACAAATACAACGATAACATAGATAAAACAACGACAACATAGAAAAACAACGACAACATAGAAAAACAGAATGATAGCATAGATAAATACAACGATAACACAGAAAAATAGAACGATAGCATGGATAAATACAAAGATAACATAAACAAATACAACGATAACACAGAAAACGGAACGAAAACATAGATAAATAGAATGGTAACATAAATACAACGATAACACAGAAAACGGAACGACAACATAGATAAATAGAATGGTAACATAAATACGATGATAACACAGAAAACGGAACGACAACATAGATAAATAGAATGGTAACATAAATACAACGATAACACATAAAACTAGGAGTGAGTAATTTATTTTTAAAGTAGTTTTACATAAAATTGTCAAGTCTGTGAGTTTGTGTAATTTTTAAATCTAATAATGAAGACTAAACGCCTATATTCTGTTTAACGTCCATTGTTTTTCCATCCCTGAAGATAAATATGATGAGAACACTTTCGCTGGGCTAACTATTTACAATCAAACGTAAATCTTATATATATACATATAAATGTATATAAATTACATTCTGCTTTGCTTGATGATATTTTATAGAGACATATATATAAAACATTTAGATCACACTAAATACAAGTCTAAAACGCTACAAAAGAAAACCTTACAGAGAAGACCTTTTGTGAAATATCTAGATTAAAATTGCTTGATTTGGCGTCATGACAATTAATGTTAAATCAAACATAATAGATGCTTGATTTGGCGCCATGACAGTTAATGTTAAATCAAACATAATAGATGCTTGATTTGGCGCCATGACAGTTAATGTTAAGTCCAACATAATAGATGATTGATTTGGCGCCATGACAGTTAATGTTAAATCAAACATAATAGATGATTGATTTGGCGTCATGACAGTTAATGTTAAATCAAACATAATAGATTGTTTCAGTCAGTCTTTCACTATGGCCTGATCCTCTAGACCAGTGATTCCCAACCCTCCCCTAAAAAGTGTACGTTAGACAATTCCTCTTGGCAACATTTGGGGGAAAACGAACCTTGTATAGGCCTCTTCCGCGCACCCCCTGGACCCTCATTTCGCATCCCCAAGGGATACCAACACCTTGGGTTGGGTACCTTTGCTCTAGACCTTATTTTACTTGGTATTGAGTTCATTAAATTTACTGAACAAACATTCATACTTGTGGTAATGTGGCTAAACAGCACTTAACACAATCACAAAGCTTTATTTACTTGTTTGAGAGCGAAGCCACACTGGGTTATCTGCTTTGTCTACCGCGGTGAATCGAACCCCGGATTTTAGTGTTGTAAGTCCGTAGATTTACCGCTGTCCTACAGGGGGACAATAAAAAAGCTAATGCCTCTTTGCCCTTCTAACAGATATATCTATTTGTGTCATTAGGGTAGAAAATTTATTAGTTAGCTTGTAGATATTCAACTTATCCACACTGTGACGGTATCATCGGGTGTGCGTGGAAAGTAGATTCAATATCAGTTTCCTTCAGCGTTATAAAATTTCGTTTCTTTTGTATTGCACAAAGATACCTTCTTTAAATATTGTATTGCACAAAGATACCTTCTTTAAATATTGTATTGCACAAAGATACCGTCTTTAAATATTGTACTGCACAAAGATACCGTCCTTAAATATTGTATTGCACAAAGATACCTTCTTTCAATTTTGTATTGCACAAAGATACCGTCTTTAAATATTGTACTGCACAAAGATACCGTCCTTAAATATTGTATTGCACAAAGATACCTTCTGCACAAAGATACCTTCTTTAAATTTTGTATTGCACAAATATACCTTCTTTAAATATTGTATTGCACAAAGATACCAAATATAGACCTACACGTGTAGACTTTAGCCAGAAATTAAGTGTCTCTACCCTGATTTTACGGTAAGACGCTTGTATTTCCATAAATATGTATGTTCCCTATTCTTTGACAAATTTGAGCAGTATAATCAAGAACTACAAAAATAAATTCATCTTTATACTCATTGATTTATTTACACAACAAGATGTCCATCTGAAAAGTATTTACATGACTCTTGGCTTATACACACAAAGAAAACTTTAAAGCAGGTTAAATTTGAAATTATTCCCATTTCTTTTAATTTAAAAATCGCTTAAAATATTAAACCTTACTTTGTTTTTTAACTTAGAAACTTGAGAATTAGCTCAAAAACATTCAGTTTGTCAATACATTTGCCAATTTGTTTAAGTAAAAAATCTAAAAACTAACCGCAAACGTACACACACACTAATGGCTGACATGTGATTGTGACAAGTATCTAACATGGCACTTTGATTTGGAATATTACCCACGGAGCACTCATTTCTACAGTTTAATATATCGTTGCATAAATTATATGACACACTGATACTATACGCATTATGTTTTTACAGACCCGAGTTATTTTCACATTTACACTGTTGATTTCCACTTTACACCCATACCTGTACTTTCAGCCCGTACGTACTTGAATTTTTCTTTAAAAAGCTAAGCCTAATTGGTGATTCATACAGCATTCATTACATTCCTTATAGAACAGTCTAGTCGTTTCCATTTGTGAACAATTTAGTAAACGTGTTGCGTAGAGTTTAACAAGACCTTTCCAAGAAACAAGCAGAGTAGAACACGAAGATAAACCACCAATCGTTCTTAGACTTTAGTAGGCTGCTCTCTGAGCATAAGTATGCTTAAGCATTCAGCTCACCTTGATCTTGTATATCGTTGGTTATTTTGATGAATCGTCGGATACAATGTCTAGAGATTTCTCCGAAGTGTCACTGGAAGCGGAATCAACTCTTCTCGGAGGCGAACTTGCTATCATAGGAAACGCTCCAAACAGCGCTCTACCGGAGTAGAGACCGGGGATCTGGAGGCTGGGTAGGAATCCCGGCTTCATTGAGAAGGACGGAATAGAAAGCGGGATGGACGTGGGCACGCTCGCTGTCATTGTAGAGATGGTATGGGGTAATGAAATTGTCCCTGGAGGCTTAGTGTGAGCTGTCATGGGCATGTTAAGAAACTGGGGAAAAACTCCTGATGGTAGAGAGGCTGGGGCAAAGGGCAAGTCGGAAGAAGAGATAGGTGAGGCCCACGACGCCGTCGAAACACACGGAAGAGAACAGGGGTATGACGGTAGAAAACTTGGCAAGACAGGGTGAGGAACTGAAGGACCCTGAATAGGAATTGGGTGGCTAGGAACTTTGTAGGTGGGAGCAATTAAGTTTTCTATGGAAAATGGTTGTATGTATGTCGTGGCCGATGTTCTTGAAGCCTCCGTAGAAAACGTCTGCAAATGGGACGGCGCGGCGGCGAGCGCTGCCAGTCGAATTTTAGCTTGTTCTTGAACTGCGTTATGTGTAGCATTTTCGAGTTGTTTCAGTTCGGCGTAAGCAGCTGCCGTGGCCCGCCTAAGTGAACGAGGCAGTTTGAATCTTTTCCTACGACGCAGAAGACTGCCGTTTTCAAACATATCACCACAGTTCGGGTGGAGAGTCCAGTAGCTACCTTTACCTGGCCGGTCAGGTCGTCTAGGAATTTTTATAAAACAGTCATTAAAGGAAAGATTATGCCTTAAAGAGTTCTGCCATCTCTGTGTGTTTTTTCTATAATAAGGAAATCTGTCCATAATAAACTTGTAGATATCACTCAGTGTCAACATCTTTTCTTGAGAGCTCTGAATTGCCATAAAAGTGAGAGAAATATAGGAATACGGAGGTTTTTGATCTCCATAAGTATTTCTGCCAGGCCGAGGCATCGTTACATTAAAGTCACCGATTCAATAACAATTTTAAATAAAAGACGACTTTCCACAAACCTCTCGCTACTTCTGGTCTTTGTTGACCAGTAGTGTGAACTTTTCCATCGGTTACGTCAATATGACAACTTCCACTACACAAATAAGGACTGACAAACAGCGCGACTTCAACACTTGACTCAGCTAATACCAGCGTTTGGCTCGATGGCAGCCACACGGATAGATGCAGGCTAAACAGGTTCGGTAACACCTATCTATAGACTTAGCAAAAGGTTTACACCCTCTTTCTAATATAACCCAGAGGCGGGTTTATTTCGACCAATCGGTTTGTCTTACTCGCTGTCAATCTACCAAAGAGGGACTGTCCTACATACGACTGTTATCAGTGGAGCCGCAGCTCAGCGAGTGACATTGATCAACATCTCTTCTCTTCAATCGTAAGTATTTCGAAGTTTGTAACTGACGTGAATTCCTGTTAAAAGACTTTATATATATATATTTGAATGAACATCTGTTCAAAGCTCCATCCTCCTTCGAATTAGCTACAGTCCTGAGTATGCATCCCTGTTTTTTATGCACTATTAATAATACATATAAAGATTATTCTCTCCAAACCAGAAATTGATTCCAGCCAGTATCTTGTAGACAAAGTCCCTCACAGGCTGCACCCTTTAAAGTTCTAGAAGATGGAAAGTGCTACAAGAAACTCAAGAGCAACACGTGTAAAGAAATAGAATAGTCGTGTTGCTAATCGCTTAGCTTTTTATGAAAACGTTAGCGTTACGTGATTAGACTGATTGAGCTAGCTTGCATGACAAAAACATGACATTGTACCAGTTTCCATCTCCTTCAGGAGTTAAGCACTGTCTGTAACTTAAATCACCTCTGTAGATATAAATCATTGGAAAACGTACCACTAAAATGTGGGGTTTCGAGAGAAATTCACTACAAAAAGTTTAAATTTAAAATGTTTTTGACGTAAACTTAGCAATTAGTTCTTTGGCATAAGAGTTAATATGATATAATGTAAGTCGTGTCTTCATTTTATAACAAGGCTATTTTCTTATAATGATGAATATTTATGCATGTGTAGAGATTCGAGTGCATTTGAATAGGTTAATAGTGTCGAATAAATATACGTATTACTAAATAATATCAAATACATCTATTATAAGCGTATATATCACGTTCAGCACTTAATTTAAGAATCATAATTATTATGTTCCGAAAAGTGTTTGATACACATAATACGAAAAGGATGGAAAATTTAAGTTTATTTTAACTTAAAATAAAGACATTTTTGCAAACAATAAATGTAAAGTCACGTACACACACGATATTGTTTGTTTGTAGTTAAGCACAAAGCTACACAATGGGCTATCTGTGCTCTGCCCACCGCAGGTATCGAAACCC